CTTCAACAGTGTCAAATAAAGAAAAATTTCGTCAAATGCGGGTCAAGAGAACATTTTAAGCCCTCAAAATAAAATTTTGCGAAAGTGAACAGAGCTGCAGTAGTAGTGGAGAAGGAAATTTCTTTTGGAAAGACAATCAATCAAAGAAGAGGAGTTATGCAAATTGGATAGAGTGCAGGTTAGTGTAAACGGTCGGATAAGTAACGGATTAATCGATTCTGGCAGTGAGATAACGGTTGTAAAGGAAAGTATAATTCCAAATTTTAGATCTGGAAGCGGATCGGCAATTTATTTGAAGGGGATTTTTGGACCGCCGAGAAGAAGGTGTGAGTTAGTAAAATTACCTTTAGCACTAATTAATGGAAAGGGTACAAATGTGCATCAGGAGATACTTTGCGCGGTGGCGAAAATCTTTAGTTGAAGATGTTTTATACCCCCACAGGTGTTATATATATGTTACGGGGCGAAAACACTTGTAAAGATCGACAGTTCAACGGAGACGGAAGTAGTAGCAGTGGTTTGTTCTACGAATCGAAGGATTCCTCGAACGTGGGAGAGGCAGAAACACCTCAGGGTAAGTTAGAAACGGACATTCAAAGCCACGTAGCTGCTATCCCAGATGTCGGAGCGCCCTTAGTGGAGAAAACAACTAATTTATCTCAGACAGCGGAGTTTCGTCAGCAACAGAAAGAATGCACTGACTTATGTCTAAGATGTGGGAAAGAGCGAAAACGGATAAATAAAGGAAATTATTTTGTGAGGGACGGTTTTCTTTTTCATCGGGACAAGATTTTGGGACAGAAGTGCAGAGCAATTAGTTGTTCCTAAATGCAGAAGGAATGAAATTCTAGAGCTCGCGCATGCATCAGTGTTTGGAGGACACATGGGAATTAAAAAAACATTAGAGAGGATTCGTTATTCCTTTTATTGGGAAAACGTGAAAAGAGATGTCCAGGAATTTTGCGAATCATGTGAAAGTTGTCAATTAACAAAGCCAGTGAAAGTGAAGGACAGAGCGCCAATTACTCCAGTAGCAAGACCAGGGTTACCTTTTCAGGTTGTCAATGTAGATTTAATCGGACCTATAGATCCTCCTAGTTCGAAGGGGCATAAATATATTTTGTGCTTGGTGGACCAGCATACTAGATGGGCCGAGGCAGTGCCATTAACCAGTCTGACGGCAAAAACTACCTGCGACGCGTTGCTGCAGATTTTCTCCAGGACCGGAATTCCTAATGTGATTGCGTCAGATAATGGTACCAATTTTAACGCAGACTTAACACGGGAATTTGAGAAAAGATTAGGATCCAGTCCGAGATTTTCGACACCCATGTACCCTCAGTCAAATGGTTTAGTCGAAAGGTTTAATCAGACTTTGAAACGTATGTTGCATCATATTATTATTAGAGAGGAAGGTCGAGCTTGGCATGTCCAAATACCTTACGCATTATGGGCATACAGGGAAATACCTAACAGTACTACAGGGGTATCACCTTTCCAACTATTGTATGGTAGACCCCCACAAGGACCGTTATCTATTTTAAAATCTACATGGTTAGGGGAGCATGACGAATTAAAATTCGATCTGAAGCCAATTCATAAATATTTGCAAGATTTGAAGGAGCGGTTAAAAACGTGCTGCTGAGCAAGCTGATCTTACGAGCGAAATCCAACAAGGTAGGATGGCGCAGTATTATAATTTGCGCTCTTCGAGTAAAACTTTTGAAATAGGAGATAGGGTTGTAGTCCTCATACCTGATTCAAGCAACAGGTTATATGCTCGTTGGCAGGGTCCTGCAGTGATAAAGGAAAGGAAAAAACCCACACTCTTTTTTAGTAGAATGGCTGGGAGATGAGAGGGGGAGCATTAAGCATGTACATCAAAATAAAATAAGGAAATTCATTGTGCGGTCAAATGCAATCAATGTAATGTTTGACGGGGAAGAGTTCGGGGAGGTAGACAATATTCCCTCTACTTTAGACCAGGATAGTAGTTTTGAAAGTATGTTAAATAATCTAAGTACCACTAATCTTAACAACAAGCAGATTAATGATCTAAAACTACTGTTGAGGAAAGTACAAGAACTTATTTTTGAGACATGTTCAACCTGCTAGAGTAGGACAACATAAGATTGATCTTATGCCTGGAGCAGACAGAAAAAAACCTCATTGTTATGGCATTCCAATGGCATATCGCAAAGAGGTGGACAAACAAGTCAAGGAACTTCTAGAACTGGGTCTCATTGAACCGTCGGAAGCGGACATAGCCCATCCGGTTGTGTGTGTGGTCAAGAAAGACGCGACAATCAGGATGTGCGTTGATTTCAGGGCATTGAATTCGATCACTAAAGTGCCGGCATTTCCTATGAAGGATATGCATGAATTAATATATGTGGCTGGGCATTCAAAATGGCTATCAAGTTTAGATATGCGCAGAGGATACTGGCAAATCGGAATGGAGGAATCAAGTAAACCACTGACAGCGTTTTCAACTCACAACGGGACGTTTCAGTGGAACGTCATGCCGTTTGGTTTGGCAGGAGCGTCAGGTACCTTTCAAAGAGAAATGAATAAGGTTCTTTTCCAGTACAGCGATTTCGCCCAAGCATATATAGACGATATTATAATTTTTTTCAAACACGTTTGAAGAACACCTGAAGCATCTAGAAACGATCCTTAAGATACTGGAACAGTTAAAATTTTCTGTCAGGCTCAGTAAGTGTGATTTTGCAGCTAAGGAAATAGATTACCTAGGACATAAGATAGGAAACGGCAAACACGGCCCAGATCCTAGTAAGATTGCAGCAATTAAAGTGCTAGAAAGGCCCACGAATAAAAAGGGAGTTCCGTTCGGTATTGGGTCTCATGGGATTTTATCGCTCATATATCCCGAACTATGCCGAGATAGCTGGACCTTTGACGGATTTGACGAAAAAAGATGCGCCGAATAATGTACGGTGGGGTCAAGTTGAAGACGCGGCTTTCCAGAAGTTGAAAGATATGCTGTGTCAGGTGACGTCTCTGACCACGCCTGACTTTAATTTTCCATTTCAGGTGCATTCTGATGCATCAGATGTGGCCGTCGGTTGTTGTCTAACTCAGAGAGATGCACAAGGGCATTTTAAACCAATAGCTTTTGCATCCCAAAAATTTTCTGGGGCTCAAAAGAATTGGGCAGCCATAGAAAAGAGGCCTGGGCAGTGTTATTCGGGCTCAAGAAATTTGATAAGTGGATTTTCAGGGGGGACGGTGGAAATCATTACGGACCATAATCCTTTGAAATATCTCACTGAAATTACACCTAGGAGTCCAAAATTAACGCGTTGGGCTCTCTCTTTACAAAGATGGAATTTAAAAATCACTTATCGTCCAGGAGTACAACATCGAGCCGCAGATGCGTTGTCACGATTGGTGTGAATAATAGTACTATATAAAAAAGAGGGGGGAACCACAGATATTCAGAGGTTCCTTAATTCTTGTCCTTAAAATACTTTTCGAGATAATTTGTTTAAATGATGTTGGTAAACAAAAAATGTTTGTCTAATGTAGAATGTATTTATGCAGTTATGTTTAGTGTAATATTTGTATTTGTTAAATGAAAAAACATGGTAAGAAGACTTTTGTATCCTGATCAGATTTTGGTTTTTAAGTACCCCCTGCACCTGGTCGGGTAGGGGCTGAAAAATTTCAGTATCCATGTCAGCCATCAGGAACTTTGACATTTTGTATGAAATCAAGTGTGTCAACTAATAAACCTCTGAACTCTGATTCTGACGAATTCGGAATTGATTAGGAAGAACGCTGGGTTTTGTATCTAATGAACTCTACATTATTTCTAATGAAAGCTGAATGGTTCGGTTGAACCTGTTGTGAAAATTAGCCTTTAAGAGGCAAATCTTCATCTTGGTGGGGGCGTGTAATGCCCATAACCCGAGAAGGAGAAGGAAAAGCCTAGCCAGCGAAATAATTAGTCCGACGGAGCAGGTGGTTCGTTGGACGGAAGGAGAAAGGAGAAAGACTAACAAGAAGACGAGGGGGGGCGAAGAGGACTTTGCACCCTGGTTGTCGGACGGGACGGTCGGAGTTTTTTTGGGGCGGAAGGGCAATCGCCATTTTCTTTCGGTCATGGAGAGATTGTTTTTCTCATCCAGGCGGAGACACCATGCCGGACTTACCTATTCATGCTTGTATACCTATAATGTATAATAATCAAGAATTGTTTACTTATTAAAGTTTATTGTTAAAACAAACAAAAAATGGGTGTCATCTATGCGTCGATCGACGGTGACATGTGTGAAGCAACTGAACCCTATGCTAGGATATAATACAACGATGCTTATCTGTCTCGGCACGACTACCACAGTCAACTACACATTTTTCTACCATTTATGTACCATTTGTGTTTTTCAGTATTTGAAAGCTTTCTTAGTTTGTTATTGATTGCCTGTAGACAATATAAATTCCAAAAACATTTTTTGTTAATTAAATCTGAATTATTTTAAGCAAAACTGTTTGTTGCTAAAAAAAGTGGAATTAAAACTCATAAAGAATCTGAATAATTTTCTTCCTAACATTGTGGAGGGTATAAAAAGAATTTGCTACAGTTTTATGAGAAAGAAAAAAAGAAAAATCTATGTTAGTAGGAACAGTCTTAATTCAGCTGCAAACAAAGAACAAATGTTAAGCACACAAGAAGCAAAAGAATAAAATGAAGCTTTTTCCTGTACTTAATTATTGTATTTTATTTTATTATTTATTTATCACATTGACAGGGAATGAGCTGAGGTATTGAGATTCAATTTATTGCATGCTACTATAGTGTGAGGAAAAGGTGAGAATTTATAGGTTTGATTTCAACAATAAGCTGATTGATGAAATCAAAAGAATTTTTCTTTTATAAGAAACATTTGAAATCCTCTTATTTATAACTAAAAAAGGTAAATATTTGTAAATTATAAAAATCAGTTACATAGTTGTTTGCATAATTATTTTTCATTTAGGTACTGGCACATTATGTGATGAAAGTGGTTTGTTAATTTCCTTGTTAAACAAAGTAGAATTAAACGAGATTGATACAGAAGAAAAGTACAAGCCTGGAAACATGATAGCTGTCTTGGGAATTTTAAAAACATTTAGAGGGAAACTTGAACTGAATATTCGTCATCATTGTATCCTTTTTTTTTTTTTTTTTTTTTTTTGATTATTAAAATAAAAAAAAAATATTAATTTTACTTTTTTTCTATATAAGCAAGACACAAACCAAAAATTTTCATTCTTCTCATTAAAAGATTAATTTCTAATGAACTGAATAGAAACTACTTTGAAAAAACTAAACGTAAACAGTTATTGCCGCACATCAAGTTTCTGCATCAAACCAAGTGATGAGCGGGAGTCACCTCTTCAGTTGCAGCATCAAATTACATTGTTTAGTGAGAGTCACCTCTCAAGCTGCAGCACCAAATCACATGGTGAGTGAGAGTCGCCTCTCAAGTATAAAGGGTTCATATATATGCATATATAATTATGTTCTATCTCTAGCCAAAATTCACGTAATGGTTTTTGGAAACTTCTAGTTTTAATTTAGAGTTGCACAATAAATAGCTTGGCAAACTTTTGTTGAGAGTTTAATGATAAACAGCTGTCATGAATTAACTTACATGATTTATTTTTCTTTTTGAGAATCAAAATTTGAAGGAAAGTGTTTTTTAAAGTTATGTCGCTAGACACTTCAGATGATCAGTTATAACTGTTTGATTTAAATCTCTGTAAAAGTTATTTTCAATTATAAAAATATCCATAGATGTAAATATTTCTGAAGATCAGTTTTCGATTCCACATTTTTATATGTTTTTTTTTTTTTTAAACAAAACTTTTAAGTTTATATTTTAATGTTATAGTTACATTCATGAAGGAATATGTTTAAATCATTCAATTCATGTTTAAAAATTCAGTTTTTCAAAATATCTGACAGGTAATATAGTTTTAAAAGCCATTCTAAATAATGCCTAAAAGTTTTTAGTTCTTGCTGTCGATAACAATTCAGAGATTTTTAATTTATTTAACATATGTGTAGCATTCTTAATTATGAGCAATTTTTTTCTCATGCTGTATTTCTACAGTTTTTTTTATATTATTATTATTGTCAAAAATTTTTTTAAAATGGATTTATGCTCCATTAAAATATATAACAGCTTCATCTCAATTCAGTTTGTTCTTGTTAGCTACAGTCAAAAGTCGTTAATCCGGACACCCATAATCCGGAATGATCTATAATCCAGACCTCAAAGCTACAAACTTTCTGCGCATGTATAACGCATAATGCGTTCATGCATGCGCATAATACGTTTACGCATGCGCGTTAATGTATAACGGACAGTATAAGCTAGGCTAAAATTATATTTACTGATTTTAAGGCTATTTCAAGTTAATGTTGCAGATTGCGTTGTTCCTTAATCTTCGAATTGGATCCGGCTTATTATTTTTTGCAGACTGTTAGAGCAATTTTATAAAAGTAAGCTTCAACTTTCGATTATGTCAAATAGAATTTCTGATTCTGGAGTTGCCAAAGGATGTACAAAGCGAAAGTATGTTTCGATGTCCATCAAACAAAAAGTGGAATTGTTGCAAAAAATGGATAAAGGGCATATCCTTTGTTTCTCTAACCATTCCGAAATCTATGTATCGATTTCACGCTGCTCTGCGGGGGGGGATGTTGCTGCGTGCAATGAACTGGAAGTTGATCTGTCAGCACTATCCTTATCTTCAGGGCTGATGTTTTTATTTTATTCAACTTATAATTCCTTACTAAATGTAGTATTTCATCTTGATGTATTCCGTCTTTGATATGATTTAAATCAAATTCCTCGTTATTATAAATATCACATCAAATAGTTTTCTGGTTGCAATTTTTTAATCGACTATGCGTAATGTATGCTTTACGCATGCGCGCGTTGAAAGAAATGTTTAATAAAGTAAACAAATAAATATTAAGCTTTTTTTTTTTTTTTTTTTTTTTTTAAATTTTGATACCCTTTAGACCATAATTGCTCTTTATTTCATGAATTATGGTTTCATATTTTTAATTTTATAATTTCTGCATGCCATCTTACCAGATTTAAACTGATGATCTATAATCTGGAAAAATTGATAATTCAGAATCGCCACGATTCAGAAAGTCACGATGAGTCCAGATTAAAGACTTTTGACTGTATAATAATCCATATAAATTTTATCCTCTTGAAAATCGATATATTTTTGCATGCAGCATCAAGTTTCTGTGATCAGAATTTTTATCTGCTTTGAGATTTGAAAAGGATGACAGTTAAGGGCTTGGCTTTTTGCGAAATTAATTGTTTTGATATCTTTGAAGCTAGTGATATAGAAACTAGTGATTTGAAGCTAGTGATAGATAAGCACAGCATTTAAAGCTAGTGATATATTTTTGCCGCGTACTTCCTGATGAATCATGCACTATATACAAATGATATATTCATCACCATCAGCTTTTGATACAAATCCAATATTCTCACCCACCACTGCTGCAGTTTCATTTGTGCAGGAACCAACACAATTACTTCATTATAAATTTTCATTTGAAAAAAATTCATCAAGTTTAAATATATTCCTCTAAAGTGTGACTCCCAAAGGATGCTAGAACAGTACACTTCCTTCAAATTTGTATTGATAAGATAAAACATGAGAATGTAATTTTAGAAAAAGTTACTAGCATCAAACTTCATAGCTATAAGAGAAAAGATACCAGAATGCACGAAATATTATAAACAGAAATTTTGGAAATTAAAGTTAGGAACTTAAAACTGGAAAATAAAAGAATTCAAAAAATATGCCGCATCATAAAAATCAATATAACTGTAAAAACTAAAAAAATATTCTGCCACAAAATTTATATTTTTGATATAGAGTTTTATACTTTATTTTGATATTTTGTCTGATGAATAAAAGTAATTTCTTCTGATAGCACAAGCAAATGATTAGAGTAGATTTTAATACAGTTCATCTGCTGACTACTTGCTCTCTCTTTTATCAACAGAAACAAGGTTATGAGGAGTTTCAGCATGATTTTTATGCCCTTGGCAATAATTGATCTTGTGAGTTTGCAAGTAATTGGAAAGAATTATTTAATTTTAGAGCCGCAATCTATTTGAAACAAAATATAGAACATAAATATAGTTTTTTTATAAATTAACTATACAATGCAGAAATTTATAGAATTATCAGTTCCACGTATTTCCTTCAGTAAGAATTATGTTGCAAAATAAGCAGTAATATTGTAATAAACAACATAAGTTACAAACATAGTACAGTACAAAGTCTTTAATCCGAACGTCCATAATCCAGACCTCAAAGCTACAAACTTTCTGTGCATGCGTAGCGTATACGCATGCGCGTTTAATGTATAACGGACAGTATAAGCTAGGCTAAAATTATCTAATTATCTATTTCAGTTAATGCTGCAGATTGCATTGTTCCTTAATCTTCTAATTGGATCCAGCTTTCTTTTTTTTTTTTTTTTTTTTTTTTTTGTTGTTGTTGTTGTTGTTGTTGTTGTTGTTTTGTAGACTGTTAGAGCAATTTTATAAAAAGTAAGCTTGAACTTTCGATTATGTCAAAAAGTGTTTCCGATTCTGGAGCTGCCAAAGGATCTACAAAGCGAAAGCATGTTTCGATGTCCATCAAACAAAAAGTGGAATTGCTGCAAAAAATGGGTAAAGGCATGAAGAAAGTGACAGAGAGGTTAGTGAAAATGAAAAAATTTCGATTGACAAGTTAGTCGGCATTCTCGGCACACCAACTACAGGACTTGAACAGTGGAACTTTACATTGAAAGAAATGTTTAATAAAGTAAACAAATAAATATTAAGCTTTTCTTTTTTGTAAATTTTGATACCCTTTAGATCATAATTGCTCTTTATTTCATAAATTATGGTTTCATATTTTTAATTTTATAATTTTTGCTTGCCATCTTACCAGATTTAAATTGATGATCTATAATCCGGAAAAACCCCTTATCCAGAATCACTGAAGTCCAGACGAGTCTGGAATGAAGACTTTGTACTGTACCACAATTGCAGTGGATCTTAGTTTCCGTGAGTTACAAGTTAAGGTGATGATTCTTATAACTGTTTCTCTAATTTAATGTACAAATGATGAGCTAGATTTATGTTTAGCAAACTTGGTGATGTAGCTGTAATGTGTTTTCATTCTTATCCTTTTGAAACCTTTACCTGACTTTGTGTCCGATTTAAGATGTTCTGTGACAAAAAAAAAAAAAAAAAAACATATAATGGATAAGTTACCATGCTCAAGTCGATATGAGTTGTCAAAATTTGTTCTGAGTGGATTGCAGGTCCATGTCTGTGTGTTATGATTTCTCTCATTGTTTTTGTAGTAACATCAGATCAAGTCCATGCTTTTTATCGAGGCTAAGATAGTGCTTGTTGTTGGCTTAGACTTTGGGCACCTTATAAATGACAATGTGTGGGGCCCAACTCCCCCCATTTTTGGGGCATTTTAAAACATGTTCACCAAATCATGCATCAGTATTATATTGTTCATACTTGTACTGCCATAAATAGATAGAAGTTTCAATGTTTCCTCTGAAACCATAAATGGATTTAATCAACGTTTTCTCTTGTCTTATTTACATTCCTTTATTTTTCACTCTTTCTGTATCTCTAGCTTATATGGGTGATATTTGTGCCTACTAATTCCTAAAAGTGTTTTTTGGGGGGAGAGGTACTTATACATGCTTGGGCCTTATTTGTCTTTAAAGTCTCTCACCTTACATATTGCATGGGCTGAATGAAAATATTTAAGTACAGCTTTGCCATGTAGGTCTAGATCATAATGATCACAGCATAATTTTTTAATGATCCGGAAACTATTTACATTTTACAGTTAATAAAAGGTTGAATCGTGTAACCAGATAGAAAAGTTACACATTTAAATATTCTATAGAAATGGATTTTCTTTCTGCTAGAAATAACCAAAAAAATATTTGGACATTTTGTTTGTTGTTTTCAGATTATGGTTAACTTCAAAGAGTCAAATATTTCATGTTATGCATTATTTTTGTTCTCATCAATTTAATCTATTGTTTAGTCGGGCAGTTGCATGTGAAAAGTGATTGAACTTGATGGGATGAGTATTAAGAGTAGTAAAAATAAATACTTTAATAGGAAAGCAATAAATATCATGTCAAATAATGCTTTATTTAATCATTGCTTTTATGCCTTATCTTAAAATTCTCATAGAAAGTACAAATTTATATCCATATCCTCCTTTTCTCGAAACAGAAATCTTTATGGTCAGCGATAGAGTAGTTAAAACCACTGAATAATGGTCGAGCCGGGTTTGAACCCAGGTGAACAAGTTGGCTGCCTGGTTGATTTTTGTTATTTCCCCATGTGTAGCATGAATGTGATCCAGTTTCCCTTACAAAGTCTGACACAAAATCATCTTTTTGCTTTAAGCAAATAGTCCTCATATATTTGCCACATTCAAATAACCTAACTTTATGTATTTTGGCATATTCAAATAACCTAACCCATGTATTTTCCCATGTTCAAATAACCTAACTTTTATGATCAATAATCATTGTAAATATTATAAAATTAAATGGAATTCTGTGAAGCATATGGACTTCAGTTTTTAGACATAGCTGTAGTTTAAGAAGCATTTGCTCATTCTTCAGCATGTGACTATTTTATATATAGTTTTCCGATTAGTTTTCACCTTTCTACATAAAAAAAAAAAAAAAGTTGAATATTTAGGAGTTCTGTGTTTAATTTCTTGTTTTATTCATTAATTTTTGTTATTTGGTTATTAAAAAAAGAATTCTGTGTTTTATTTTTCTTGTCATTTCGCTAGTAAGCTTCAAGCAAAGTTCTTCTATTTGTATAATGAACATACCAGTATTCTTAGGATTTTAAGCTTTAATCATTCATTATTTATTTGATTACATTTTTTAATATTGCATCTTAATTTTCTATAATGTTATTCAATAGATGTAGTGAGAAATATGAATAAAAGTGAATTGCAATAAATCTGCCGTAACTGTATAAGTAAATATATCATAATTAGGATTTAAATTTTCTTTGCAGCTAAATTATAAATATCATCATAAAATATGTAAATACATACTATATTTATCCTAGAAACTGAACATTCATGAAATTTTAGGTCCTTTAATTTATATGTAGCAATTTATTTCATATATTTTGGAAGAAATTTTGCTTAGTGTAGGCTCTTTTAAAAACAAATATTTTCTTTGTATTACTTTTGAAATTAATATTTTTATTCTTGAAAATAATCTTGACTCTGTGCAGATAAACTTGATGATATGAATGCTGAATCTTTATGGATATTGAATGTTTTAACAATTCATAAATAAAGTGTAAAAAAAAATGTGAAAGTTTAAAAAAGTGTAAATGTTTTTTATATAAAAATATGTTGTGTTAAAAAATATTTATTAAATTTATTTTTCGAATAAAAATTCTAAATTTACTTTTTAAAAAATTTGATAATACACATATAACATATATACATGCATGCATGAACACATACATATATACAATTTTTTGGATCCGGCCCTAGTAACAGAACATTACCTATTATTATTTTTTATATATAAAGTTATATTTTACTTCGTTTTTCTGTTTGTTTACTTCAGATCTTGAAACCAGTTTTTGATTCTTCTACCAGACTTTATTGAAAATTTTCACGCGCCTGCTATGATTGTAACGCTATTCCACAGAAATGCTTCAAAATTCGAAGCCGGTTTTTTTATTATTTAGTATTGTTATTTTCTCTCGTGTTTTTTCTTTTTTTACTGTCGCAGAATTTCGGTCTTTGTACCATTAGATAAATCAGATAATTAGGTAATCTTTTTATTTCATATAAAGAGATTTCAGAACTTCTAAAATAATTTATCAAATTTTCGTGATTTTTAAAATGTTATTCATTTTTTAACCCGGTGGAAGTCGCACCATGAAAAGTTAGTAGAGTGGACGCATGGGGTATCACATACCCCAGTATTTAAAATATGATAAAAATAGTCTTATTTTGTTTTAAAGCTGTTTTTCTTGTTCTCGTGTATTATAAATACGTGAATAATAATTGGATTTCAAAAAATTAATCTCCAAAATAATCTTAGAGTTAAAATTAAGATAAATGAAAATAATAAAAAAATAAACATCATTAAAAATAGGCCTCTAAGTTTCATTGCATCTCTAATACACAATGCTTATTTTATTTCTTTACACTTTGAACAAAATACTTTCATGTGTTCTTGGTACAGAATGTTTTCACATTTTAAACATTGCATTCACGTTCTTCTGTCCTTGGCACGAGGGCAATTTATCACATCTTTCATACTTAGTTGTTTCAAATTTCATGTATTCGTTTTAATTCTTCGTCGAAACTTTTGCTTTTTTTTTTTTTTTGCATGCAGTACGTCAGTTTCTTGGTAAAGTGTTAATCTCTGATCCTTGTTCAATACTTTTTTCATTAATTGTAATGCTAAGTCCTTCAAAAACAGACTTCTGTTTCTGGTTGGTGGATTAGCAATTGAATGTAATATAATTCAAGCATTTATTGCAGCAGTATTCAGTGCAGGAAAGAAAATTACCATTGGCCACCTCCTTGTTATACTGGCAATTGAATAATTGGCTGACATTTCATTCTCCATATCCACTGCTCCTTTAGTCATATTATAAAAACGTATAATTCCTGATGTTTTATTTTCCCCAATAGTACCATATATAGTATGATAGTTATATAATATTGAAAGCACAAGAACAGTTTTTCCTTTTTTTAGGAACATTGGGAATTAATGTTTTATCTTTTGTGAAACCAAAAACAGTGTAGAAAATATTCCTAGTTTCATCTTCATTTTCCGAAATGCAATCTTCATCGCTTTCAAATATTTCTAATAAATCTCACAGGCATTGCATCTTTAACTCGTAGGGAGTCATTCTTTTTACCATAATGCGGTTAGAAATTTTTAAGAATTTAATGTCAAGTACTTTAAACTCACTTGCGAATAGAAATATTTACTGTTACACTCTAGAAGTAAATTTCTGAACTAAATATTCAGTTAGAAAAACACTTCCGCGGACAGGCGCGTGGGGTGTGTCATACCCCAGTTCCAACAAAATACCGATAAATCTTTCTCTGAAACACACAGGCAAAGAAAAAGCAGTTCTGAAAGTCAGCCTAACTAGAAACTTAGCTACTGAATGCAGCACAGAATTTTAGTTTCACAAGTTAGGAATATTCCACTTTTATGTAGGGGTGGGATATGATACACCCCACGCGCTTTCCCGCGGGTTAAAATTATCGCATTGTTTGTAATAATGATGGATTTCCAAATCGAAAGATCTGAGTCTTTATTTTCATCAGCGTATAATTTTAAGCGATTAAATACCTAAATCACACAAAAATTTTACTTTCAATAGATATATATGTGTTTCAATTAGACATTTTCAATTAACAAAGTGTTTTCTCAAAGAGGTCAGCAATTAAGTTTTATGCAGTAAATTTTAGTTGGAAAAAATTGAAGTTGGTATGTAATGTAATCTGAAAAGGAAGAGTTTCCAAACTAAAACTATGTGGTCTGTAATTAAAATTTTATCTTAGGCATGCACATATACAAAATGATGAGAAAATATCTTACTAGGATATTTTCCCATCATTTTGTATATGTGTAGATCTTACTAGGAAACCTGGCAACTTGTTGCCCAGGCATGAGTAATATCAGAACAAGTGTAAAACAAACCTTTTATTATTCTTTAACTCTTAACACAAATGCATATACTTTATGCTCACAGTCACATCGACAGCTTGGGGTGGAACTTAAGATTAATTTAACAATAAATTAAAAGATAAGTAGTAGAGCTAGTCTAACAATTTAGTTTAGGGCTAACCCTAGACTGACTCAACAACCTACCCGCCCACAGGCTTATGAAATGGCCAAAGAAATTCAGCGTAACAGCAGCAAGGACAAGATAGTGACATGTGCTGGCCAGTGAAATCACGTTCTAAATAAACTTCTAGTTTCATCTGTTTTTAAACTTTCTTCACATAACTTTAAATTTGCATTCTGGCGAGGAAAAATGAGAGGTTCAGGAAAGATACTAAACATAAATTGTTATGCAGTCTAAGGGAAACCCTGCAATGTGTTCACTAAAACAGCGTTTTGCGGGGATACAGGCCATTGTAGAGTGGTAGATAAAAGAGTCAAAATGACAAAAATCATCATTCCTTGTGCAGATTTTG